ACACACACACACACACACACACACACACACACACACACACACACACCTGCTGGTGGTGTTGGCACCACAAAGGCGTTGAGCTCGACCGAGCTGCGAGGAAGTGTGACCTCCACGCTCTCCCCCGCTGACACCACCAGCTCCCTCACTGCTGTGGAAGACAACACAGGATCAGAGACAATGCCGAAATGATTGGAACTGGTCGGAAAATGGAGCATTCATTATTCATAGTCTTGGGATCACTTACACATAAAAGTATATCACCAAATGATGATTAAAAATAAAAATAGGCTCAGCTCATTCCGTCTCAATAAGATTTATCAGGACTCAGGCAGCTGTTTTCAGTGATAACCTCTAAAAGCATTTATTTGCATAAGAGTCAGATGTATTTCCTGAGGAGTTGGTGGAGACTAAAAACTGAGCTAAAAGGAGAGTGGATAATGAAATTACAAATATCAGGTGGCCAGAAACAAGAATACAATTGAGTACTAATGCTCCTCCACATCTGGTGGATATGTAAACTGGAAAGATGAGACCGTGTCTTTTAGTTACTGCTCGTTTCTGTTTCCACTCATTTCACTCACTGCTGCAATTTCATAGAGGTGGGAGAATTTCAAGAAGCTCCTGAATCACAGGATAAAATAATTAAACAATATTCTAACAGACTGACTGTTAAAATTGTGAATCAGGTGACAACAGTGAAGCGAGATGTTCTCTTTAAGAATCACACGTTCATATTTTGGAAACTGAGTCTCCTTCTTAACCTACACCCTCTGTTTGCATTAAAACCAGCTCAGCTGAATCTGTCGGCAGTTAAAAGCTCAACAGATTTCATCTGAAGTGACGCGCGTTGTTTTGCCTGTTGCTATTTTTCAGTTAATGTGAAATTGGTGGTGAGTATTGTCCTTCAAGGGAGGAGAAACTGATCATTCGAGTCCTTCCTGTTTGCAGAGGCCTGGCATGAGTCAGCACATTCCTATTGATCAAACACATTTGGCTTCACACACACGCAATGCTGCTTTCATCTGGGAAAAATAACATCTGCGCGCTCTGCAATAACATTTGTGGGCAAAGTACATCTTTGTTTTGTCAAGGACGGACAGCGAAGGAGATTTTAAAAACCGTGGACAAAAATATATTTCATGAGCTGAAAGTCAAATCTTTCTCCAAAGCTGCACAGCCACAGAGCTGTTACATGATATATGAGCTCATAATTAATGAATGACGACAAGACAAATTACTATATCTGCTGGAAATAGGCGATCTCTGGTACTTGCTTACCAGCCTGTGTTGTAGTGGTGACGATGGCAGCTTCACTCTCTGTGGGTGAGAGGACATCGCTGCTATTGGAAGACGGAGGAGAGGCGACAGTGTCGTCCAGTGTCGTTGAGTTAATTTGTGACGGAGCTGCATAGGTGTCCAAACTCCCATTGGTTGAATGGCTGAGGTTCTTTTGGGGTTTCTGAAGAAGTGTGATGGTGCTGGGTACAGAAGGAGTTGGATGAGCTGTTTCCAGGTTGGGACTTTCCTGTGGAGACAATTCAAAAGTTTATCATCACACTGACAAGGAGCCAAATCTACCTCCAGCACACTTTCATTTTAACCAAACAATCAGTGTGATTCCAAGAGTGATTCGAGTTTGAATAACAAAGAAAAGAAAACTAGATAAAGATCAATATCAGCATTTAAAATCACAACACGTTCTGTGACGTTACCGTGTTTTTAAGGTATCCTGTGTGCGGCGTGTGGCTTCCTGTTTGCTGTGCATGACGTGCCCTTCTACGTCTCGCTGTGATGGGACCCTTAAAGTTACAGGAAAGAAAGTATTTTAGAAAGACACTTATAAGGAATATAAATATATTAACTTATCTCTCTTCTCTAAATGTCAAAAATGCTCTGAACATCTGCTGTTACCATTGCTCTCTTTCTTTCCAAGTTAAAAATCTGTATATCTCACTGCATGTGCAATATTGGGAATATTTGTGTAAAATAACATAACAAGATAGTAGATAAAATATAATGATCTAGATCGGCTGTACGACAGATACCAGAGCCACTTATCTGGGTAAGCCTGTGCATCCCAAGCATGAAAAACAACAAGCTCATCTTATTTCCCTGTTGTAATACGTGTAATCAAGGAAAATAAGCAAATTAGCCTGATTAACAAATCACAGACAGCAGTAGTGATACCTTGGAGATCAGCTGCAGGAGGCCAATAGACTCCTGGTGGGGCTGGGCCAGGAAGGAGATGGGGCAGCCCCTCTTCTGGGAGCAGCTGAGAAGCACGCAGTGCCCGCCGAGGCTCCACACGGCATTGCAGCTCGGCTTTAAGCAGCAGGACTCCCAGCACGTCGCCCCGGCTCTGCCCTCGGCTAGAGGGTGCCAACCCAGGCCGATGGTGCTGGTCCAGTGGATCCCCAGCACGCCGCCGGTCACCCTGCAGAGATCTGCTGACACACCTGGAGCAGAAGCGAGGGAGGAGGGAAGTATGAAAAGATGCTGATGTTCTGTACTCATGTCCATAACTACAATTACAATTTCAAAAGAGATCAGTCTCTTTGCAACAACATCATAATAAAGAGAGTTGGTGTGAGAAGGGAGAAGAACAGTTGAGGTGGTTTATACTCTGAGATTCTAAAGATCTTCGTGTTGCACGGAGTTTGATCTCTGCCAGAGACAACACCTTGGATCTGCTAATGGGCAGCGCTTTGCAAGCTTTTCAAGATTTCACTTGTTCATATGAATCCGGGCATTGTTGACTACTCTTGGCAATGTTGCAGGCAACAGGACAGAGTGCAACCCACAGTGAATTCCGGCTCCAGACCAGTGACACCTAACAGATTAGGCTCTGACTGAACGTTTCTCAGAAAAGCCGACATGCGGCCTCTGTTTGAGCAGTCAGCCAAGTCAGCAGCAGAAAGAGGAAGTGAGCCTTTTCCCTGACAAAACAAGATGCTGATTAAAACCCAAAGCACAGTGAGCAGTACGCACACAACTCCACCCGCTGAGCCAGACTATCAGACTCATATCAGCAGTGAACTGAGACATTTAGCTGCTAAGGGTGTGTGTACTCCTCTTCGAGAACATTACTTCCGATTATAAAACCATTCTGATTCCAGCCTTTTATATCAAACTAGTTAAAATCCATCCATTGTCCCAGATGAGACCTTTGTTGTGCAGCCGACTCCAATAAAACAGCAGCGTTTATAACATAGCACAGAGTTTAAAATGGCAGGTTAGATTTCAGATGAAAGCGGTGAAGTCACTGAGTCACTGTGACGTAATAAATCCAATATTTGGAACTTATTAACCTGCAGAAGCAGATCAAATGCATGAACGTGCACATATTAACTTGCCAATTCTAAACTGTAAATACTGCAACCCATTTAAAACAGTACACTCATCTGCATGTATCAACATTCTGCGAATGAAATTAGATCATTGGATCAATAAAACCAGGTTGATAATCTCCGGCAGACGCCCAGAAGCTTAGTTTAACTTATAAACCTACCACGTCTTCCTACTGCAGAACAATGACGACTACAAATGATATAAAAAGGTTTAAACTCATGAGGATCTTAATATTATGACCTTGGAAATTACCATGTTTGAACCTGGTGTTCTGTAAAACAATGACAATACCTCTAAATATTTTAAGGAGGCTGCTGCACCAGTAAATGTTGCTACCATAGCAACAGTTGAGCCAGGGGTGACTTTATGGGATGTGTCCCTGTAGACCAGGTCACATACAAAAAACAAACAAAAGCACCACAGTTTGTTTGAGAAAGGGGTGTCATCCCACCCCTCGTCCACTGTTCCTCTGTCCCCTTACTCTCAACACACACACACATGCACGCACGCACACACACACAGCGCCAACCCACAAGGCCCTTATTGTCCTGTTTCACATTGTAGCCCACTGAGTGGAGCGGCATCTGAAAGCAGACACACACACAAACACACACACACTCACAACAGGGATGCGAACAATCCTTTGTGTGCCTGCCTCGGTTTAGAGGGACAGTAAATACAGAGAAATAATCCAAAACAATCCGAGTCTCATAATCACATTCTAAGACGGATGAAGACCCACCCTGAGTAATCAAAGGTGTGTGAAGCTCCTGTGCAGATGAGCACTGGCGATTTAAGAGACACACACGCGTTTCCTTATCAGTTCTCATGTGTGTTTGTCTGTTGAGTTCAGGCTGGCGAATGGTTAATTTTACCTGTGGCCGGAGCCAGGAGCCAGAGGTAGGTCAGCGGCAGGAGGGTGAGGTGAGGTAAGCTCCAGGTGAGCAGCATGTGGTGTGCATAGGACATTTTCCTTTAAGGACCTGGAAAGAGTAAACAGAATGACTTAAGGGCACGTGATCCTCTGATGAGTCAGTCACTGCAAACTCCAAACAAACATCACTCAAACCCAACGAGCACGATGTGAATTTCTAAATCTCAAAGTTGCTATAAATATGAAAAGTTGCGTCATTTTTATTTTGGCTTTAAAGCACTAGCAGAGGCAGCGACAGAGCCGAACCAACGTCCATGTTAAAGGGAGAGATAGCATTGGTGGACAGATGGGCGTCACACACATGTGACACCTTTAATTCTGAAACGCAGTCATGCTAAGTACATTCACACGTTGTGGGCGTAATTCTGCCGCCTCTGTTTGGTTCTGTTAAAACCAACAAAGCAGAGATAATGGAGGAGCCTTCTTAGCAGCTATATTGGTATCAAACAATATCAGGGTAGGATTAGGATTGGGTTACTAAGACATCAAGTATATTTCCTTTTCTGAGCTGGAATAAGCTGATTAAGATACTTTTATATGTGACAGTGTTAGACACTGAGGAAAAAGATGAACATCCAACTTTAAAAGGTCGTTAAAGGGAAACTAAGGAGGAAAACTTTATTTAAAAGGGTTTAAATTCAATTAAAAGAAACAGAACATCAATGCAAAATAAAATAAGATTACACAGCTAAAAGAACCAAAGTGGAATAAAGCCAATGATGTCAAATTCAAGGGCACAAAATTAGTGATATTAAAGACTTTATTTCATCTCAGTAAGAATGAGACCTGGTTCTCAGATTTACTCAAAGTGTCTGCCACGAGTAATCAAGCACCACGGCGTTTACCTTTCTCCCGACCAGGCGGAGGAAGCGAAGGAATGCAGGAAGAGAGAGAGAGGGGGCTTAAGTTGGCAGGGTGGAGCTGCAAGTTGACGGGTGAAGACGGGTCAACACCGGCACTCTGAGGAAGAGATCCAACATGGCCGCCTCCAGGGCTTTCACAGGCTCAGCTGCTCATACAGTCCTGGAGAGGGGCGGACAAAGATAGAAACCATTATTCGATATGTTGATCATGTTATTACCCCATCCATCAAGGAGGTTGTGTTTTCATCAGTGTTTCTTAGTTTGGCTGTTAGTTCGATTTGCTAATTCCGAGACCTGCGGAATACAAAGCTCCTTTTTTCAAAGTACGACAGAGAAGACAAGTAAAAGTTCCTCGTTTGAGGACATAACAAATAAAACAAGTCGCTCATTATGAAGCAACTCTGCCAGTATCCTGTTGACAGTAGCTCTTCACATGACTCACACCCTGACAACACCGTCCCTTCACTAGCAGTTGAAGCAGAGCGAAAGCGAAGAAGAAAAATACAATCAAGCTAAATGTTATTTACATACCTCAGAGACAGCTTTTAACCTCTCAGCCTAAACCGAAGACGTGGCTCAACACATTGCGAAATCTGTCCTTCTTCATCGTGTGTCTGGCCCTGGAGCTTTGCAGCCTAATACCCAGCAGGTGTGTTCATAACGCACACATGGAGGACGTCTGTGTGCAGGGAAATAAATATTTCTAACTCTCTCCTGTGCACATATTTCTCTTCTGTGCAATAATCACAGCCATCGCTCAATATGCAGTAGTTTTGACTCAATTTCCTTTTGTGCAGGAAGTGTGATGAGGACGTTCTAAAAACAGCTCAAGTTTAAAAGATTGATTAAAAGATGTCTGTAAAAATAGACCAGTGAAAATCCTGCAGCAAGACAAATCAGACAGAACATAGACTGTATTAGTCAATTACATAACAAGAACTGCTGACACAAACCTGCGTAGTCTGTTTCCATACGAGAACCTGCATTCCAGCCCAGGGATGCTTGAGCCTCAGCAGCTCGACTCACACGGTCCCGAAATCACTGTCCTACGCTCTCCTGCTCTTCTTTCTCTCTCGCAGGTAAACCAACGAGAAAAAAAAAAAAAAAATCCAGGTAGAAAAATTCAGCCCTTGCTGGAGTCGCAGTAATAAACGAGTCGTGTTCAGGTGCACTCCGTCACCTGGGCTGACGACAGCTCAGCCATTACAGACTTTTCAATGGCCGTTCCTCCCTTGAGAAACTTCTGCCGAACAATGATCTCTGTGACTAAACACCCCCCCCTCTTGTATCTGGAGAGGACAAGTTCTCTCTCTCTCTCTCTCTCTGACTGTGTCTGTTTTCAGTTGCAGCATCCAATAGCTTAGATTCTCAGCAGACAGTTTGGTGGAGTCCCACGCCCCGGGTTCTTCTGGCTGCAGCTTCTCTCTCACAGACAGTCCCCTTTGGAAAATCTGCAAAACATGAATAATAATAATAAAAAATAAATCTCCAATTCTGCAGTGACAACAACAGACACGTCCTTCACAGCAACAACAGTTCTAATCCGAGGACTGGATACAATACAAGTATCACGGCAATTCTATAATCCCCCGTGTATAGTTATTTCAGAAGAGATTTTTACTACACAATAATACAGTCGGCTAACCTTACAATTGAGAACAGCCTCTGACTGAAGAACATATTCAATTAATCTTTCACTGTTTATTGATTTTTCACCGGATTATTCACAGTGTCTTTATTTCTGTCTTATAATAAAACGTTGTATGAACTTAATAGAATAAACAGAAAATAATGTTTTTCATTCTTTCTCTCAAACATTCGCCTGGTTTTAATTTCTTTTTGACTGTTTTAGTTTCATTTTAGCTGCCATCTGTTGTTTTTACTGCTATTGCATGTACCTGTTTTCTAAAGGGTGGTTTTCTTTCTGTTTACACATGGATGCATCTGTACTGATGCATGGTAAACATGGGGGGGGGGGGGAAATAAAGACGAAACTATGGTTTAATAAAGGGATAGTTCACCCAACAAGGAATATGTTGTTCCTAAACTCCTAAAAGTGTTTTGTGGTCTCAAACTTTTCACCCACCCCTCCATCGGGCAGAGTGGTCTAGTGATTTATTATTAACTAACCCTTTATGACCCTATAGCTTGTTGAAGTCTCATGTGAAAAAACAGTGTACTATGTTCATATTAGAGACGAAAATCAAAGTTTATTGCACAATAAACAATAATTGAAATTATGGTGGCATATATTCATATCTATCCATCTATGTAGGTTATACATAACAGTCTTACTCGATTAGATTGAGTGATGGTTAAATGAGTGCCTCTTATAACTGCAGTGGGATAATATCAAGAGATATTTGAGCCAAAATGGAGGGTTCGTACATTATGTATCTTAGCAGCAGCAGCAGCAGCAGCAGTGTTTTCCTCTCAGGACCTTTCTTATCTCCTCACTAGCTGACGGATCACTGAACACAGGCCGGTGGCTGCAGCCTGCTGCCGCTGCACAGTCACACAGGTACACACACACACACACACACACAGACACACACACACACGGGACGGTGAAATCCAACACAACACGCTCATCGATCATCCGGTGGATTCACGTCCTGACACCGAGACACGGAGACGCGCAGCGGACACACCGGCCCGTGTAATCCCGGGATCACCGCAGTGGTGTGAGGCACCTTGAGGCCAACAGCCGCTGTCATCCTCCTCTACCGCCGCCACAAACCACGCGGGGGGTTTCATGCGTTCTTTAAAACCCGCAACTGTCACGACGCGGTGAGAAGAAGAAGAAGAAGAAGAAGAACCGGGGACTCACCGGAGCAGGAGGCTGGAGGAGGAGGTGGTGAAGACGGAGGAGGAGGAGGGTGGTTCACCTCGGTCCGGTGCCCGTGTCGTGGCTGTTGTTGTCCCGCAGGTCCGAGTCCCGCTCCGCTCGACCAGCTGATGTCAGTGTCACCGCTGTGAAGCCAATATGAGTGATGCGGGACACTTCCGGTGGCTGGGTTTTCAAAATAAGGCAGAAACATTTGACCTTAACGACACTTTTTCTAAAATAAAACATGAAATAACCAAACCAGGTTAAAGGTTATATCACGCAGACGTTCATTCAAATCCCATTTAAATCCTAAATCATCAGGTTTATCCCGCTACTTCCATCTGCTGTCAAAATCGAACGACTTCCCTTTACTTGAATTATTTTAATTTAAAAAACAATCAATATTTTAATTGAAA